TTACCTTCAGTTGTTATAAAAATGCTATAAATATCAAATATGACTTGAAAGATCATATTGGGGGAGGAGCTGCACCTCGAAGGCGGGGCTAGGGCCACCAGGTGTTTTGCATAGCTGAATGGTTGCCATGGAGATTTAAGGACTTCTCAACCATGCAGGAAAGAATCAAAGCAGCACTCCTGGTATGTTTTTGATGAGGGAAAAACATTAAAAAAGTCAACTTTTCATCAATTTCCTGATATTTATTTTCATAAAACAACATTTTCTATTGATCCGTCACCAAAACTAAACAGAGTTTTGTCGCCGTAACGCGGTAAACATGAAGAAAGTTTGTGCGTTGTGTTTTTATCAGAAATGCGTCTTGAATCGGCTGCAGGAAGCTCTTTTGCTCATTTGCTGTTTCTTGGTTAACCCCCTTCCTGCACTCACACATGCTCACAGATTTATCGCTCTGGACACTCTTGTCCCTGTCAGCAGCTGGCGGGCTGAGTCTTGTTTGAGCTCGTGTGTGTGTGTGTGTGTGCGTGTGCGCGTGTGTGTGTGTGTGGAGCCCAAGTAAAGCCGGCTGCTCTGCTCTGCTGTGCTGGCCAGGCCATGTGGCCACTTTAAAGCTCCTTTCTGAGAGGCCTGTGAAGTTGTTAAGGAGCTCCACTACACTGGCAGTTGGCTCTGGGAATCCCTTTGCCAGCTGTAGCCGACACACACACACACACACACACACACACACACACACACACGCGCGCTCCTCTTTGTCTCACATGTTCAAGCTCACTCTCGCCCGTCTTCTCCGTCCCTCTTTCTGTCGGTAATTGTCTGTTTCTTGTGTTCTGTTTCCCCAGCGCTGTCTGCTCCTCGTTGCGACCGCGGCAGCCGCATAATCTATGTAGTGAAACATCATTGCGGACCTTCTGTCTCTGCTGGCACCGGTCCGGCTGCACATGTTTCCTCCTGTATACCTGCTCGGATCGCTGCAAATGCACTTTGGCAAGCGCCGCTGCGGCACGTGCTGCAGCGGCGCTTGAAGCAGAAATTCAGGACGTTTCTCAGATTCATCTCAAAATTTCTCAGGTTATTCTAGAAAAGTTTCCACTTTTCAAACTCAGGGATGTACTGTTTTTTCCAGAATGCTTATCAAATGATTCTAGTTTTTTCCTTACTTTTATTATGAATATATTAGCAGTATATTGAAATCTGTCATTAATCATCTGTTTTCATGCATGTTAATTGTAATTTTACTGATGAAACTTAGCCTCTCTGGCCGAATCTTGCATATTTTCATGATGTATTCATGCTGATAAACACTCATTACCAACATAAATAAATCTAAATGTAAGTATATTTCCATGTTTGCAGCGGTCCTCGTCTCGCTGTCGCTCAGACGTAAATACTGTGAAGTTGCTTCGGTCTCTGAAGTTTGGCTGACCTTTGGTGGAGAGCAGAGAGCAGGTGCACCTGTGTCCTGTTCGCTGGCTCGCTCTCCCAAGGTCTGTGGTGCACATCTGTTGGAGAGCGCCAGCTTGTGCACACAAGGAGGACGTTTGCTTGTATTGTCATCAACTCCATTTGCGGCGGGAGTCCCTGGCTGCAAGGCCGCGGGTGAATTGTTGGGGAAGGCCGGTGGCTCTGGTCTCTATTCGCCAATCCGCTGATCGGCAGGGAAGGTACTTGTAAATAATATTTTTTCTCAAGGGTGCGCTTTATTCTGACACGACTACACCTCAATGTGCTTTATTTCATTTTTATTTAGACACTCTGGTCTTTTTCAAATATTAGTTTTTCTTCTGCTTTTCCTGAGTAATCGGAGAGTAAAATCCTTAAAATATTTATTCTTCTTGTCATACAAAGTGCCACCAATCCTGTAGAATCCGGTTTAATCCAACTCCAGTCCGTTTTCCTTGCTAGTCTGGTTGGTTTGGGGAGGTGGGATTACTAAGAAAACAGGAAGTGGACTACAGTGCAGGGCATTTTGGGTAAATACAAGAAAACAAACGATCTAGTCTAGCAGGAGAAATGGCTCCTGGTCTTTAGCCAAAGACTAAAGAGAAATCCTCCAACCGCTAAAATCCTCCATCTTGTTTCCATCTGGTGAAGAAGGAAGTTGCTCTCAGTGTCTTCAGAGGTTTTAGTGTTGTTTCCTTCAGTGGTTCTTGGTGCAGCGCCCCCACAGGCCAGGAGGGGAACAGGTTGGTGTGACTCAGAACCACAGCAGCTGGAGGTGGAGCAGATGTTCTGGTTCCAGTAGAACCGGGTCGACTGGACCATCAGGAGGGAAAACATTCATAAAAACCTTTAGGATGTTTTCCTGCCTGACAGTAAATGCAGTGGTTGTAGGATTTTTCTTTTGTATTTGGCTAACAACCATGAGCAATTTCTCCTGCTAGCACTAAGCTAACGAGTTTGGATTGCATTTACCCAGAATGCCCTGCGCATTATTATCGCCCAGAGTGTCATTACTAATGTTTTCAGTCACTCTGTGACTTTTATCATTTTATACGTTGCTCTTAATATCCCAAGACGCTAAATGTAGCATTAGCATAAAAAATGCAACATGAACATTGCACTCGCTGATGTTTCCATGGCGATACATCATCCTGCTGTACCTCCCTGCGGTTTCACTTCTGCAACCCAACAGCTGCATTCATGTTGTGATTAAACTTTTCAGATTTATGTGAGTTTGACTTGATGAGATGAAGGTTTAACTGAAAATCTCCATCCAATCTGAGAAAAAGTGAGTTGTAACGATGTGAGGAAAGTCGAGGTTGTGGCGTAAAAAGTGAAGAATTTCCATCAGAAAAGTTGTTCCATACATTTCTAAAACTTCTCCTTTTGGCACCAGTATAGGTGTTGTTAGAGGTCAAAGGTCGCTTCTCCTCCTCTTTTCTCCTCTCCTCTGCTTCCTCTGGAGACGGCCGTGCAAGCTGGCGTCCTTTCACTCCACAGATGTCTCTGTTCCTATAGGGCTCTCGTTGCGAGGCGATGTGTTGGCAATTCTGCGAAGCACACCTAACAGACGCGCACGAACACACACTCGCAGATGCTCCCTCTCTCTTTCTCACTCTCTCTCTCTTACACACACACATGCATAGACACGCGCACACACACACACACACACACACACACACACACACACTCACAGGCAGTTGCAGAAACACCCGAATGCGCGCTGTGACTCTGCTGTTGTCGCCGCTGGAGCCTGCGAATCCGTTCCTCGTTTTCCTGTGTGCGACGCTTTTCAGAGGAGGAAAAGTGAGGAGAAGATGCTTAATGTGTGTGTGTGTGTGTGTGCGTGTGTGTGTGTGTGTGTACACACAACACATCCTGTGTGACAACCTGGCATAGCCTAGATCCGCCAGCGCTCTCAAGTTGGGTGTGAGAAGATTGTCATCACATACCTGAAGCTGGCGGGATTAACACCTGTTATGAGCGTCTCGTCGACGACGCGGCGTTTTCATTTCAGGTATTTAGCTTCTGCACAGAAACTTGTAATGAGTTTTTCAAACTCATTTCCTTCATTGGTGCTCGCAGAGGGAAAATTCGACCAATATCCGATCTTTTCACCCCAAAATAATCCATATGTGGACTAATTTACCGCTTTAATTCTATTTTAGCCAAATTTTAAAAAATGTCAAACTCAAAAGATTCTTCTGGAACTTTTCTGAGATCGATCTCAGAATTTCTTAGTTTTGTAGCAAAGTTTTACTTTTCAAACTGATAAATTTAGTTGATTTTTCTAGACAATTTCTGAGACTAATAACATTTACGATGTCCTTACACATTTTTGACTTTTCAAACTGAAAAATATTTATTTTAAAAACAAAAATTTCTTGAAAAAACACAGATATCAAAAATGAACAAATGTCTGCCAGAAAGTGGCAGGAATTTTCTAGAAAAAAAAAATGCTTGGAAAAACTGAGAAATTTTGAGATTTTTTGCAGAAACTTGCTAGAAAAAACAAGGAAATTTCTGAGCTCCAGAAGTTTAAAATTTGCAACTTTTCAAACTCTTCAAATTTCACAGTTTTTTTCTTTTTATTTTCTACAAACATCCTGAGATTTTTGGTGGAAATTTTCTCCTCTTTTTTCCTTTGTTCTTTGTACAAAGGCCCAAATACAATGTGGTGAATTTTATAAGTAGCATAAACGATCAAGCAAAGAAAAAAAAAATCACATCTTTGCAAAAAATATTGTGTGATGGTCCAGACCTGCTGTCTGTCGCCCGCCGACGATTCCAACCAACTTTCCGTCGTTTTCACCTGTTTCCTCCCAGTTGTGCGTCCATCATGGACCTGCATGGCGGAGTGTGTTTCCCTCTCTGGCTGCTCTGGTGTGTGCGTGTGTGTGTGTGCGTGTGTGCATGCGTGTGTGTGTGTGTGTGTGTGTGTGTCCACAGCATGGCAGTCCATCTGTCTCCAGGAGAGCAGCTTCCTGTTCTCTCTCTCTCATCTCTGCCACTGCAGGAACACACAACCTGCTCTGACATCCGCTCAAACACACGCACACACGGACACACACACATGGACACACACATGCACACACACACACGCTGTCGGTCTGTCTGTCTGTTTGCCAACATTTGTCCGTCCGTCTTTCCTGCACACATCCCCATAAAACTCATCAAAGCCGGTCATCTGCCTTCCTTCTGTCTCTCTGTCTGCCCGTTTATTTGTCTGTCATCCAAACGGTCACAAATGATGCTGTTTTGTGTGTGTATGTGCGTGCGTGTGTATGTGCGTGTGTGTGTGTGTGTGTGTGTGTGTGTGTGTGTTGGGGCACCATGTGGCATCCCCAGCTGAAGCGCCACACAAAATGGCCGCTGAAATGTTGCTGCTTCAAAATGGCGGAGGTGCAGTTGAAGGTTCGAGGGCGACTCTGGCCTTTGCGTGTCGGAGGCGATGATATCCGATCGATCGGCCTCGTTTCCAGCAGCAGTGTGTGTCTCCATCTGTGTGTGTGTCCACGGCGGACATTGATTGGTGCCATTTCTTCTTTGCCACATGACAGATGCAGCCTGTTCACAGCAGAAACGTCAATGCCCACACCTGCTTGGGTGGCGAGTGTGAGGCATCGCTGCCGATTGGCTCCGTGGAGCCAGACAGAGAGACCGATGAAGTGGGAGGACGGACAGAAACCCGGCAGGATGCAAAAAACTGTTCTCCCTACAGGCCGTCAGACTCATCTAACACAAGGATAACCAAGGTAAATACCAAGGAAAGTCAAAAAACTTTCAAAACAGCATGAAAACTGGGTTTGCCACCTGGGCTGCCAGAGCTGGCTGACAGTTTCCAGCCCAAAACAAAGTAAAACCCACAAACTAAAAAAAAATCAACTCAGCTCAGATCTCAACCTCTAATCAAGTTGGTGTTTATAGCACCGGGTATAGATGTATATGTTTATAATATTGTGTCCTTTATATCATCAACTGCAGCTCACAGCATCTTTGGTTGGTTCTGTCTGGAGTTTGCTGATGGCCCAAAGCTTGAGAAACATTCCCAGATGGGTGGATGTCAGTCTGTTGTTGAATTTCTTCAGACTGGGTCGTCATGAGATGGTTTTTGAAATCCCTTGACCTGCTTCATGCTGCTGGTCAGGCTCTGCTTTAAGCCTGGATGTGATAAGTCACATTAAACTCGGCTTTAGAGGGGAAATAACTTTTTCACCCAGTCAGGTTGGTTTGGATAGTTTTAATTGTTTAATAAATAAAGTTATGAATACTTGCATCCTGCAGGTTATCGGTGGCGGGCAGACTGACAGTAATGCTGGATTTCCGCTAACTTTGATTATAATCAACGCACTTAGCTTCCCCTAAATTATAACTTTTTTTAAATTCTAAGGAGCTAATTTACTTGGCTGTTTCGTAAAATTTCAGTTGAACTAATAAATACTGTATTACTACGAGCTTCTATGACATATGACGTTAGTTAAGCTCTTTAGTTTTCATTAATACTGAGTTGATGCTTTATCGTTAGCCGAACTGATATTTACCGTTCCTGCTTTAGCGTTAGCACAGCTTCGGTTTAGTCATCGGTGCCCCCTGCAGGTTCTCTTTAACTGATGATATGAAATATTTCAGAAACAGAAGAAAGGGGTAAATCCTTTTCTCATGGATAAATCCTGAGCGGTCGGCTCACAGCATATGACTTCAGGAGGAGAGCTGCCCATTAGTCCAGTGATTACAGCAACAACAGAGCAATGTTATGAAAATAAATAGGAGAGTCTGATTCTCCTGTACAGTTGGTGAGAATGATCGAACACCACATGTTGTTCTGCGTTTCCCATCCACTGCTATCACTTTCCAGCTCTTCGCCATCATGGGGCAATCTGTTGGCTGTTGATTTAGCAGAAAAATAACCCTACATCATATTATCTCTGCACATATGTGTCAATCAGATAATAATAATAATAAATAAATAAATTGTGACAGATACTTATCTGGCACGTTGGAGAGTTTAAAGAAAATTAAATAAAAAAGGAGAAAGGCAGCTCTAGGCGCTGGGGCGTGTTTGACGCAGGTAGGATTATAGGCCCTAATAAGTTATAAATGATAGTAATGGCCATCTGTTCGCCTATAGGGAGCTCCTAGCCAGCTCTGATTTGGCACGCGGAGCCGCGGCACGACAGACACTCCTTTGAGCGTTGGGCGTTTAGAACGCAGCCACCTCGTGCCTGGGCATTTGCTAAATTCAGACGTGACACCCTGACAGCAGATGCTCAAAGCTAGACTTCAAGACGAGGATAAGCAGAGATTTTTTTTCATTCCTCCCTCCGTCTTCAGCAGGAGCTCTCTAAATACGCCGCCGTCGATTAATGCGAACCAATTAGGAAAAATGTGGGATATTTTTAAATTTTAAAGCGACACGTGAGCGCACGTTGGTTCCTGGTAACGGCGGCCTCTTCCATCTGGGTGTGTGTTTGTGTGTGAAGGCTGCGGTCTTAGCCCTGTGGCAGGTGTCTCATCCCAGCGCAGTGTTTGCAGTCTGGCCCCTCTAAGCGCTGTAGCCTGTCTGAGGCAGATTACACACACACAGGAGCAGATGGGTGCAGACCTCAGCACCAGCAAACACTCAGCGCAGGGCCAGGCCAGCTGAGCGAACTGGATCGATACGAGCGTGTATTTATATGTTTGAAATCATGCGTACACAACACATGTCCGTTGCCTCCTCCGTGTTTTCGTGTGCTGGATCTGCGGTGTTAGCATGTATTTGTGGAATAAGAGGGTAAACACTGCAATCCGGCAGAGAAAGAAAAGGGCGCGCTTCTCCTTCATCTGTCAGGTTCTGATGAAGACAAGACCTCTCATCTTCCTCAGGTTTACTCAAATCAAACTTTGGTTTTAAATAAACAGATTTCAACACATTTTTACATAAAAGGTTCTGGCAGGAACCTTTGTGTTTCGTTTTTGATACACCTGGAAATCGGACTCACAGCCAACAGCAAACCGATCTGATGGGACGCTGGAAAAGACTGCTGGTGTGCTAAAAGGAGTTAGCCTATTAGCAAAGCTATGCTGGCCTAATTGCATCTCAATCAGACGCTAACGCTCATGTCAGTTTCCACAGTCCACATTTCTAAAGAAGTTCCACGAATGCTCAGAAGTTCCGGAAACTCTGGAAACATGAATTTTGCACCGACCAGATGATTAAATAACCTGAATAACAGATTAAAAACTCAGGCTGCATCCACACCAGCTCTGTTTAATCCACTTTAATCCATCTCCAGTCCGTTTGCCTCGAAAGTCCGGTTTGTTTGGCGAGCTTGCTTGGTAAACAACCAAAACAAACATGTTAGCCTAGTGCTAGCTGGAGAAATGGTGGTTTTTAGCCAAAGACTAAAGAGAAATCCTCCAACCGCTAAAATCTGACGCCTCCATCTTGTTTCCATCTGGTGAAGAAGGAAGTTGCTCTCAGTGTCTTCAGAGGTTTCATGTCGTTTCCTTTAGTGATTCTTGGCGCAGCGCCCCCACAGGCCAGGAGGGGAACAGGTTGGTCAAAGGGTTTGGATCGTTTGTGAAGTTGAACCTCAGCAGCTGAAAATGAGCCAAATGTTGTTACTTTGACTCCCAGTCAATCCAAGCTTACCGGACTGTCAGGTGTGAAAACAGTCTGTAAATATCTGTTGTAGAGCTCATATGTGTATTTATTCAATAATTTTGCAGTAAAATTTGTTTTTTAATTAAATATATGGTTTTAGATACTCAAATACTTGAGAGCAATGAGAAATTTATCTCAATGGGAGAAAACCAGGATGGAGCTCTTAGGGGAGATGAGAATCAGTCAGAAATGCAGAGGAAGAAAATGGCGAGTCTTGGATAAAACAGGGAGGCAGACTCACAAATTATTACAAAATTATAAAAACTAACGAGGAAACTGAAACTTCTCGAGTTTCAAGTTGCTTTTCCAGTATCAAGTTTGAGTTTATCTCTGCTCGACTTCAGCAGTTGTGTAAATAAGGTTCTGGTTTCTCTTTGATTTGATTCGTTTGACAGAAGCTGCTGGTTTTGCCATCACTGCCCAGGGAGGAACTTGTTGCCCTGGTAATCAAAACAACAGGGGAGATTGTTGCTTCTTGCAGTTTATTGCATTACATTCCTTCAGCGTTTAACATGCTGCCAAGAAGACGAGATCATCTGCGGTCATCAAGTATGCAAACGCTGAGTGAAGACAAACATTCAGTTGTTTTATCCAACAGAAGCTCTGGATGCTAGACAAAAAGAAATCTGACATTTCAGCCCACTATGAGACCTTGTTTTGTCTTCTTTTGTTTCCATACTTTATTGTTGAGTCATCAAACTCAAGGATGCTGAAACTGCTTTACATTCATTCACTGCGTTCTTCAGCTTGTCGTTGCGGCTGCAATGACAAGGTGAAGTCGGAAGAAATTTCTGGAATAACGCAAATTCTGTGATTTCACACCGCTTCACCGTAATCAAGGTGTTTTATTGTACTTTTATGTTAGAAAGGCACAAAGCAGAGCACAGTTGTGCAGCGGAAGGAATGAGAATATCACACATTTAACCTCATCACGTTTCTCCTACAGCTGCAGGTGTTTTAGGTTATGTTTCTACCAGCTTTCCAAATCTACAAACCAACATTTTTGCCAATTTTTTTTTAAAATGATCCCAAACTCAGTCAGAATGGATTAAAACAAACAAAAACATCAAATGCAACCTGCTCTGGTTGCATCATCTAAAGGGACAAACATTAGTGAGTAGAAACAAAGAAACGGAAGAAATTTACCAGACATTTTCCTCATTACAGAAGAAAAATTGATCTCACGGTTCAAAAAAACATATGAATGGATGTAAAAAGCAACATAATGCAGCCACAAACAAACAATTAAAGCAGAATTAGAACAGTAATGTTTAAGCTGAATACATTTTAAATAGTCTAAGGGATAAGTAATAAATAAATACAATCTTACCTACTTTGTTGCACACTGAAGATTTATTTTGTTGGAAGCTTAGTAGTGATTTGACGTGAATGTCATAAATGAGACAGGAAGTGAGTCACCTTAAAGTAAAACTCATTTGCTTTGGGGAGAATACAAACCAAAATGTTTCACTAAATGATGTACTTACATGTGGAAGGAGCTCAGAAGTTCAAACTTAAAGAATGAAACAGAAATCTATGGTGGGATTTACGGTACATATTCCAGCATGAGTATCGAATCTCTGAGTCCGGCGGTGACTGTGTGTCGGCTAAAAGTCTGAGTAGTGTGTTCTGGATCTAAAAACTTTTATTTTTAGCTCTCTCACTTTAAATCCAGAGAAGCTGCTTCGTTTCTGCTCCTTTTGCTCAGTAGATATTGATGATGACTTCTGGAAATTTTTTTCATTAACATCTTTTAAATTATATCAAAACGTTTACTGCACAAGCATTTGACGCCAATTTTGTTAGATATGAAGGAGGAGGTGAAACTCGGCTTGGGTTGCTAGGTAACAGGAAGAGTTCCGCTGGGGTTGCTAGGTAACGGGCAGAGTTCCGCTGGGGTTACTAGGTAACGGGCAGAAACTCCACTGGGGTTGCTCGGCAACGGGCGGAACTCTGCTGGGGTTACTAGGTAATGGGCAGAAACTCCACTGGGGTTGCTCGGCAACGGGCGGAACTCTGCTGGGGTCACTCAGCTGTTTTTAGAAGCAGTAGAAACACAAATGGAAGTGCAAAAATGGGAGTTTCATTGTAAAAACACAAAAAGTTTCTAGTGCATATATGTTTGTGCACTTGAAATAAGACGAAACTAGATTACCTTTTAGCAAGATATAGGAACTTGTTTTAAGTCAATAATTCTTTAATGTTGATGAAAAGGTTCTAGTTCCATTAGCGGATTATTTCACTTATAATATGGGAAAAATATATAGTTACATGTGAATTTATCTGCTACTAGATCTCGTACTTTTTCATCAATTTTAAGGAATTATTGACTTAAAACAAGCAACGGAGCTAGCTTGGTACACAGCTGTGTGAGTCCTGAGGGGCCTGATGTCCAAACAGGAAGAGGTGTCAGATAGCCTGGGGACAAGACTCTGGGACACAACAACTGAACTGTCTCCACACACACACACACGCGCGGGCGCACACACACACACACTCGCACGCACACACAGAGCGCCTTGAATGGACGGCCAGTTGACACCAGCCTCCTTCCTGCAGATCCAGATCCAAACCTGTGGATGCAGAACTCGTATCAACCTTCC